AAAGAATAAACATAACCACTCCTTCCATTACAATACAACAGTATTTGGGTTGGGAATGAACAAGTCCCAAGGCATTTGGCATTGTGGGCACAGTCTTGGCATACAATGTATGTATTTTAGAAATGTACTGATTCACTGAGAGGCTGTCATTAAGACCATGAGATAAATAAACAACTTATTTGACTGAGACAAAGGAATTTCTTGTTAGGACTTGTTTGTTTAACATCTTCATGAATAAAATATGATGCTTCTGCGTATTCCTTGTCGCGCCAATTATATAACTTACATGAATGCATGTGCTAACCCTTACTTTTTGAGCGACTTTTTGTCATCTTGTTCATTCTTTTCAATGAGCCTTGTCAATCTTTCTCGGCACCCGCGCCCCTTTAGTTCAACTCTGTTGCTGTCGGAACTAAAGACTTCACTGAGAATAGTTGCTAATTCATCCCATTCCTGATGTGTTTGTGGCTTTCTGGAAGCAACTTCTTTAGCCAGGGCAATGTCATTTTTAAGACTTGGCCATCTGAACGGAGCCATCTAGGAAACAAAGAATTCATTTACATATCATCAGAAATCTGCTTTTGTTGTAATTTGTTTATCGTAGTTTAACCATAAAGTAATCCGACTGGCAAATCAGTTCCAACAACAAATAGGCGGCTGCCATGTTTGTTTTCATTCGTTTGTTCACTTCTATTTTAGCTGAGAAATCGTCTTCAAAATTACGTTTCTATAAAAAGAATTCGATAATTAATAAGCGAAATAGTTCTAAACAGTAGTATTTCCTCTCAAACGTGGGATTGTGATGTTTTAGGGTGCAAAAAAACTTGCGGTAAATCACTTACCTCTAGAGCGTGGTCTTGACGTACAAACGTGAACCTGAAACCGCAAACCTGACGGCAAGGCTCTGGTCACGTGACTTCTTGACGTTCGCGGTTGGCGGGAAATGCCGAAAAACCTCAATCTTAAAGTCTCTATTATCTAAAAGGAAACACCTTTCTCTAAAACTGTTAGTGACGAAGAAAACGGTTGTTTTTAAACTTTTGTACAAAAGTAATTCTAAAATAGTAAGGTGAATTAGCCACTCTAAAGGATGTTACGTCTCTGTTTTCGAATCTGTACTCTGGTAAATATTGCAGAGTCCCCAGGCTTTTTTCATACTGGAAACAAGGTTGCTACTACTTGCTTTTCTTTGCGGTTGCTCTGCTCAAAAGAAAATTAAAAGCAGTTTCGCCCCCTTTCTTAGATAAAACATTTTCGTAATTAATATTTCATATACAGTGTACTTAACTGAAATGTACTTTTGGAGCCTAACTGCCGCTGGACGACTAACCAGAGAGAATGCGTTGTCGCATGCACAATAAGCGGAAATATTATCGGGGTTATTTGCCCGGGGGGGTACTCCCATACATTACCTATACGGGTATGTGCCGCCCAAAGGGGTCGTGATTTTGAAGCTCCTGATTTAGAATGAGGTATCCATTTCAGACGCGTTTTCTAGAGAGGGGTATAATATTTCGAACGCACAAAAGCTCCACTTTTGTAAGCAGCCATTTGAAATTATTCAAGGACAGATTGCTTTTAAAAATACGGTTCAATGCGTTAACAAGCAAACTGTTGTACTCTTCAGTTGTACCCTAGAACTGAGGATAAAAAATTGGCCCATTTCTAGAACGGGGTATCAGTTTTAGGGCGAATTCTAGAACGGGTATAAAAAATTGGCCCATTTCTAGAACGGGGTATCAATTTTAGGGGAATTTTTTTTTTAGGACGGGGTACTAAATATAATTTGGAGTCCCGGGCGGCACATACCCACCCAAAAAAAACCCAAGTGCCCCCCCCCCCCCCCCGGGGTTATTTGATAACCAGGTGTTTTGAAATGAGTTTTAATGTATGACTTTTTTTTCTTCTTTAGTGGGGGGATATGTTTAATCCCATTTAAAATATATCAGAAGTGAAAGAGGACCGTATTAAACGAAGACCGCAACCGCAACGCAAACGAATAAGCAGTTTACTTTGAAGGTACGTTATAGAACGCGCGTTACGAAGGAAACTGAAAGAAAAGCCTACTTCCGTTATAATTATTGCTTGTTGACAAAGTCTTAATACGTTTTGAACTTGTAACTAGTCTAGTTTCCTTGCTGCCTCGACTCATTTTATGTTATTTGTTATCCATGTCGTAATAGTATGCACTAGTCCGTGATCAAAGCTGTTATAAATGCATTATTTCACAAATACAAGATGGACGTTATTTGAAAAGCCTCGGCTTTCGTTATTGACAATTCTGCCTTGTTGGCAACTGCGTGCGCGCGAAGATCTTAGCTTGAACTAGCTTGGCTACCCTGTACTGTAAAAAAAATTCAGAATTGGGTTAATAACATTTTTATTCCTTGCCAAAAACGAAAACCGAATAAAAATAGCGGCTGCAAATTCATGTTACTTCACGATTCAACAAAGACCTGTCTAATTTTCGAATTTAAATTGTTAGAATTATGGATACATTGAGGTGAGCAAAGTCTATAATTGATTTCACTACCCGTCGGATTTGACATATATTTAAAAGCCATTTGAATCTATATCGCAAATTGTTGTTTTTAAATATTTTTTATGTCTTCTCTTTGGGTTGGTTTTTACTCCATTTACTGCCGAGCCGAAATCGAGACAGGGAGCAGTTGTAACGTAATGAAAATCCATCAACAGAGAAGTAATCTTAAAAAGAGAAATAAAGATGTCGCGAAAAAGGCCAGCGTAATTGATTTCCACAGGTCATATCTTTATTAATAGAATCCTATTGCCAGAAGCATTGTCACAGTTTTGTTAAGTTTTTTGGCCGATGTCTGTGTTTTTTCTTTTTGTTTTTGTTTGTCGTTGTTTTTTCTTTTCTGTTTTAAACCGATTTTCTCTGCAATTAAGACTTCCCAATAAACCCACAAAGAGTTAAAAAAGTACAAAAAGAAATGATTTTTTTTTGCATTTGCTAATTTTGCGATGTAATTTTTCACTGTATCATCAGTGAGTGTACCATGCTATAGGGACCTCGCACGGATCGAAATTTGTATTTACCTAAAACTCGTAGGCCTACGGGTCCTAAAAATGAACCGGTGTTCGCAAGGGAGTTGTGTTTCAAGGTAAGGAATCTGCGAGTGTCTAAACGACGGACTCATTACAACTCGGTTATTCTCTTTAGGGAGCTGTTTTCTGATCATTTCCTATTCGTGAGGATTTAACTCTTCTATTATAACTCCAACCGAATGTGAGTCTGAATCTGCATTTAAAAAGGAAAGAAAAGAAAAACCGGTAAAAAAAGTGGGAAAGTTTTAACGTTCGGTCAAAATAAGTTCGTCCTGTAAAATAGAATTATTTTTGCCATATGCCGAGAAAGGTTGATTGTTTGCCACACTTAATGACTGTTTTAACCTACATTTGAATTACATGTGTCAGTCTTGAATAGTCCTTAAACTCATTTCATAATTCATGTTGCTGTTAACCAGTCGTTCTTTTTTCGTCTTCCAACAAGAGTTTGACTGATATGTTCTTCGTATTATTTATATCAAATACTCTTGTGCCTCCATATAATCGCGCTTCCGCAGGTGCATGCAAAGAGAGCTATGAACATATGGTGTCTGATAATGCACCCCTTTTTTATGCCTGTCTAATTGTCTATTTGCAAATATAAAAAAATTTATTACTGTTTAAACGTACTATTAGAGAAGAGGTTTTTTTTTCTTTAATTAATTTTGGAATGACTGAATCCTATTTTGTGCCCGTCAAACTTCCGTCGAAACATTTGGCTTTAACTTCGATTGACAGTTCCCCAGGTCGAACTTAAAACCGTTAAGGTTGCCTTGTTACGGGTTACCGGTCGGATAGCTGCCAGACTGTGACGTCCTTAAAACCATAAGCTTAGAAATTGAAACCGAATCATCTCTCACACTCCCCAGTCGTGTGGTTTTCAGAATAAGGTAGCAGATGCTGTAAAGGGTCTTCTCTTAAATTAAGCTCTCAACAATGACCAAAGCAAACTCCTTTCCTTTGCCATCAACGGCTTTACAAGTTTTACCGCCATCATGCTGTAGAGGTCCGTTCTTAACAGCATCTCTCTTGAGAAGTTCTTTTATTCAGTAACACAGGCAAACGAAACGGTGGGGACGAAAATTATATGTCTAGTTTTTCACTAGACCAAAATGTGAAAATACATAAAAAATATTTTTTGTTTGTTGTTTCGCGAAGAGGATACAACATTAAAACGTTAATTTTATGCTGAAAATACATCATTATTTCATAAATAACTATACGCATGGCTGCAAAGTAAAACCCGAAAATGAAAAACGGTGAATCATAGAATCTATATTTAGCTGCTGTTAAGCTTTGGAAAAAGTTGAAGAGGCTGGTAAATAACAACTTTGCACTGGAAGATGAAAAAACTAATATCCGGACGTTTGTCTCAGTCTCAACAAAGCCAAAAAATTTATTCTCATTTCCTTCGAATCCTTTTCCGTGCCCTACGCCGATAAATAAGACTAACCGGTGTGGTTCGTTGATCGTTGATCCACTTCTGCTATGCGTCATTTTACAGTGCAGAAAACCTCAAAAAGAGTCTTCATTTATTTTTTCTTACAATTGAACTGAATATTCATGCCTGTTGATTAATACTAAAATTGCCCTAACCATGATATTAAATATGCACAAATATTTTAAGCCACTATTGTTAAATTTTAAAGAGCAAACAACGTCAGGTCAACGAACGATCAAGTACACGAAGAGTATAAATGAATATTTTAAGTTTTAGCGAAGTTTACGCTAGATTTAACGAATTGTATGAGATGTATGTTTAAAAATTAACTTATGTTTAAATCAAAAACAGGACTGGCCATCAGTGGAATAAAAACTGGCCAGTAAAACCTTTCAGTCAGGAAGCCTTGGACTGGACCTGTGTGAATCGAACTGCGTACTAAACGAGAAATAAAAGTGAACAGGAGAAGCTCTCTACAATGACAGGAGCAATGACAGTCTTAAACGTTGCCATGAACAGTTTTACAAGTTATGCCGCCATCATGTTAAACATCGTTGCAATTATCGCGTTGAGAAAAACTCCATCACTTCGGAAGCCTTTAAAAATACTACTTCTAAGTATCAGTGTCTCAGATCTTTGTGTTGGTTTGCTAGTACAGCCATTGTACGTGGCACTGCATGTGATTGATAAGCGCAATCCCATTGTCGCACCACTGGTAAGAGTGCATATTATTTCAGCCAATTTTTTTTGTACTGCTACGCTGTTGGGTATTTGTGCTGTATCAGTTGACAGATTCCTAACAATTCATCTTCAACTTCGATACCAGGAAATCGTTACTCACAGACGCGTTCAGGCTGTGGTTATCTCAATTTGGGTTTTCAGTGCAGTTCTTTCCCTCCCGCGAACAGGAATACATTCTGAGAAGGCCGAAAGGATAATCCTCGCCATCATCGTTTTTATTACCCTTGGTTGTCTTGTCGCAATAGCAATAATTTACGTTAAACTTTATGTAGTTTTGAAACACCATATTATGCAAGTTCAAGCCCTTAACATAAATCTAGATTCTCAGACCACGGTGGCGATTGAAGATACTGCTAGACAGAAAAAATGTACAGTCGCCATTTTCTACTTACATCTCACGCTTTTGATTTGTTACTTGCCAAACGCATTTATGGCTTTAATGATTTTAGTAGATGCCTCTTTTCCCCCCGAAATGATCTATTTCTCGGACGCTTTGGTATTTCTCAACTCATGCCTCGATCCTTTGATTTACTGTTGGAAGATGCGGCAAGTACGACTCGCTGCTATGAACATACTACGAAACATACATTTTAGATGTTAGATTATGGGAAGACCTCAACAAGATACGTTATTCTTGCCCCTGTTTTAAACTAGAAATGTTTTATTATTTAATCCTCATCAGATCAGCCGCCAGAAACATGTAAAACTTTCACAACAGTAGTAGATGATCGATTGATTCAGAACAGGCAATCCTAATACATTGGCGGGCCTATTCAGTGTTTTCTCCCCAAATTTGCCAAACCTTTAATGTTAACGGAAACTGTAAAATACTTCCGTCACGACTTATCCAGGCCTATTAGAACAGAAAACAATTTTTATTAACTTTGCTAAAATTTCGAAAATTGCATTGCACAAGTGGTGCCAGTGATACTATAAGACAATGTCTTATAACATTTTAATGGGCCTGCTTTCCTAAACCTCCCAAGTACCGTGATGCTCAGCTTGACGGTCGTTCTTGCAAACGGTTATTTGAATTCTTAACGACCCTGGGGCGGGTAGTGTAACAAAAACTGTCTGTGAGGGGTGGAGGAGGAAAAGTAAAGAGGGATGCAGCTAATTTCTCAGTCTTTCCTGTTTAATTAATTGCTCTTTATTTGTCGTTTTCTATTTGATTTAGACGGGCCACAATGGTATGGTTCAAACATCTTATTATTATGAATCCTTGGGGACTGAGCCTTTTAAAAAAGAAAGAACAAAGATAAAGCAAAATCGCCAAAGTCGCTTATTCATATCCTTTCGAAGAAGTGAAGCTAAGTGAGACTGCCCATAAAAAGTAAGCGGCTTATAATTATTAACATGAAAGGACTGACGAAGAGTAGCGTAAAATAGGGGAAGAAATTTTTTTTTATGTCTGTGGCCGAAGTTCTGTTAAGGTTAAATATTTCACTTACATTCTTCTCCACGCCAGAAATTAGAAGAAAAAGTCTAAATAATTGCAAAAAGTAATCTGTCAACTAATTTCTAATGATACAGGTAAAAGTGCATATTAAGTGAATGCTAGCGAGTGCAACTTAACTTGTATGGCTATGAGTTAACGGAAGATGAAAGCGCAGTAGCACTCGAGTGAAATTCAGTAATAAATTTGTTTCTCTCAAAAGCTTTTGGGCCAGTTATTTTTAAAAGTCTTGCGTTACTTCATTTAGTTGACTTGTACATAAATAAGCTTAAAACTAAAGTTAATAATCTTTTTTACAGAATGATTTAAATACAAAAAGAATTCACAACTCCTTTTGAAGAAATTTCCCCGCAAGAGCTAAACAAATGCCTTCAAAAGTTTTATTTGTCGGCAAGAAAAAGCGACGGCCACGGCCGTTCGGTCATTTGCGCCAAAATTATAATCCTTGGCAACAGCAAATGAGTTAAAAATCATCCTTTTTGTGCTCAATTATCTCACTGTTTTAGTATACACTGAAACAATTATTCACCGAAGTCAGGAGGTGGCTAGTGGTGGACATTTAAAAAACTCACCACTAGCCACCTTCACTTCGGTAAATAATTGTTATTTATTTAAAAAATTAACTAAGGAAGTTCTGAAATTCTTCAAGGGACGAAATAAGAGGCATATTAGGGAGGAAGTAATTCCTGAGTCCCTAGCTGTTCTTGGGAAAAAGGAAAACTTGAAAACTTTTTCTTACAGTAGGGTTCAAGAAGCTTAAAGGAACTGGTTCACGATAATGCGCATGCGCGCCGTTTGTCTCTTCAGAATAAATTTGTCGGGTCAACACTAAATTTGAAATCGCCATTACTGGTACAATCATTGAAAATCCTTCGTTTTATTCGGACATCCGTCGCTTTGGCTGGGCTAGTTACACTTCGGTAGTGGTGATTAACGTGTGGTTGTGTCGTTTGACTGGTTACGTTTTGAGAAGACGCAAAAAATAATGTTTTGATCATGGAAGTTCAGAAGAGCATCGTGGCCGTGCGGCAACAGGACGTTCTCAAGAGTCTTTGGAGATAGAGAAGCTTAGCCTATCGATCTGGTATGGTTCTAGGAGAAGTGTGTGGCTTACAAAAAGAATACACGACACTTGGAAAGTGGTTAAAGGCATGATTTCGCTCGTTCAAGTTTGATTTGATTTTTGACTCCGACCTGTAGTTATACCGCAACAGGCCGCGCGATCTTCACCGATCTGGCACATTTGAAATGTTTCTTGTATCTTTTCTTTACGATCGTATATGTTTAAGAATTTATGTTTTTAAAATAAATTATTGCCTGAATATTCTGTTTATGATCTAGTTTCTTTATGTGTGCTACTCGATAACATTTGTTTTGCAGAACACTGACCCGATGCAACGCGAATGAATTTGTTCATTTGCTGATAAGCAATTGAAATTTATGCTCAATTAAGGATAATCTTTATACTCATACGTTGTGTGTTTTTTGTCACCGGTCAGGCGCTATTTGTAGGTATTTCTGGGTTTATATAAGGCGAACTGAGAGAACAGTAATAAGATGTTTGTTTACAAATTCTGTTTGCCGATCGGTGACTGCTTTGTCAGCGTGGGTACGACGTTGGTAAATGTTTGTTTCAAAGCAGGACAGGGCTGTAAATTTTATTCTTATCGGCTGCAACATATATCTGAGGAGTAGCAAAGAATAAACTTGAATTATGGGGCTAAATAAAATCAAACCAAATGCCCGGAAATACTCTCGCGTCGAGAACAATTAATTTGAATTTTGTAAATTTACTTGCGTGCGTCTAACTCGCTTCCGATTGGTTGAAAAACAATCAGCTACTGTCAGAATTCACGCATGCGCATTATCGTGAACCAGTCCCTTTAAATGTATGGCTGCTCCTTGTACGATCGAGTCTTACTGCTGAAAAAAAAATCGTCAAACTTAATATCAACGAAACCATGAATAATTTTATGCATGCCTGAGATCAAACGAGATATTTTTCTACTTTCTTCGAGGGTGCATAGATACTATTTCTTTAGCAGGGAACTGACGCTTTAGGAGCAGTCACATCATTTGTACGTAAGCGAGCTGCTTTTGGCACTGCCCTCTAGTCTGACAATGTCGCATTTAAAATGTGGGTCCCAGGAAACAGTGGGAGGGAAAGGGTAGCGTGCTTGGCAGGCGTTTCAAGTGGGAGGGAAAGGGTAGCGTGCTTTGCATTCGTTTCAAGTGGGAGGGAAAGGGTAGCGTTCTTGGCACGAGTTTCAAGTGGGAGAGAAAAGGTAGCGTGCTTCGCACGAGTTTCAAGCGGGAGGGAAAGGGTAGCGTGCTTCGCATTCGTTTCAAGTGGGAGGGAAAGGGTAGCGTGCTTGGCAGACGTTTCAAGGGGGAGTCTAAGGGAAACGTGCTTGGCAGGCGCGTCAAGTGGAAGGGAAAGGGTAGCGTGCTTCGCATTCGTTTCAAGTGGGAGGGAAAAGGTAGCGTGTTTGGCACGAGTTTCAAGCGAGAGGGAAAGGGTAGAGTGCTTCGCATTCGTTTCAAGTGGGAGGGAAAGGGTAGCGTGCTTTGCATTCGTTTCAAGTGGGAGGGAAAGGGTAGCGTTCTTGGCACGAGTTTCAAGTGGGAGAGAAAAGGTAGCGTGCTTCGCACGAGTTTCAAGCGGGAGGGAAAGGGTAGCGTGCTTCGCATTCGTTTCGAGTGGGAGGGAAAGGGTAGCGTGCTTGGCAGACGTTTCAAGGGGATCTAAGGGAAACGTGCTTGGCAGGTGCGTCAAGTGGAACGGAAAGGGTAGCGTGCTTCGCATTCGTTTCAAGTGGGAGGGAAAAGGTAGCGTGCTTGGCACGATTTTCAAGCGGGAGGGAAAGGGTAGCGTGTTTGGCAGGCGTTTGGAGTGGGACGAAAAGGGTAGCATACTTCGCACGCGTTTCAAGTGAGAGGGAAAGGGTAGCTTACTTGGCAGACGTTTCAAGCGCGAGACTAAGGGTAGCGTGCTTGGCAGGCGTTTCAAGTGGGAGGGAAAGGGTAGCGTGCTTGCCAAGCGTTTTAAGTGGGAGGGAAAGAGTATCCTGCGTGGCTGGCGTTTCAAGTAGGAGGGAAAGGGTAACGTGCTTGGTAAGTGTTTTAAACGGGCGGAAAAGGGTAGCGGGCTTGGCAACTGTTTCAAGCGGGAGAAAAAGTGTAGCGTGCGTGGTAGACGTTTCAAACAGGGGGATAGGGTAGCGTGGTTAGCAGGTGTTTCAACCGGGAGGGAAAGGGTAGCGTGCTTGGCAGGCGTTTCAAGTGGGAGGGAAAGGGTAGCGTGCTTGGCAGGCGTTTCAAGTGGGAGGGAAAGGGTAGCTTCCTTGGCAGACGTTTCAAGCGGGAGGCTAAGGGTAGCGTGCTTGACAGGCGTTTCAAGTGAGAGGGAAAGAGTATCCTGCGTTGCAGGCGTTTTAAGCGGGATGGAAAGCGTAGCGTTCTTGGCAAGTTTTTCTAACTGGAGGAAAAGGCTATCCTGCGTGGCAGGCGTTTCAAGAGGGAGGGAAAGGTTAGCCTGCTTCTCAGGTGTTTCAAGCTGGAGGGAAAGGCTATCCTGCGTGGCATGGCTTTTTAAGCGGGAGGGAAAGCGTAGCTTGCTTGGCAGGTGTTTCAAGCGGGAGGGAAAGAGTATCCTGCGTGACAGGTGTTCGAAACTACAATGGGGAGAGTGGGGCGAGTGGTTTGAAGTGCAAATGGAAGGAAAGGGGGGAAGGGGAAGGGGGTGGGGGGAGGGGTTGGAAGTGGAAGTGGAAGGAGAGGGGGGGAGGGGAAGGGGGAAAAGGGGAAGGGGGAAAAGCTCGTGTGGTTGGCGTTTGAAGGGGAAGAGGGAAGGTAGTGTGCGTGGTAGGCGTTTGAAGGGGGTCGGAGTAACGTGCGTGGTCAGCGCTTGAACAGGAAGGCAAAAGAAAACTGAAGCGAGGAAAGAATAAGAGAAGAAAACATACAGGGTGCTTGACTGACTTATTAAAACCTAACCACGTTGCCTGTAATTTCGTTTAAGCTTGGTGAATAAGACTTATTACATCTTTAAGTGGCGATCTTGTAAGAAAATGGGAATGAGGAAAGTCGACGTCCCTTTAATTCCTCTCCTTTTCCCGTGCCGCTTTTACTAATTATTTTTTTTATCTCCCTTCTTGTTTTCACAGGGAATGAAGTTTCTTTCGTCACGCTCCTGATGATTACTCAAGTGACATTTTTAAGTCCCCTTATCACAACTATCGTACAGACAGCTAGAGACAGTATGAAACGTCCTTTAACTATCTTTTATTTATACATATCACGCACTGGAAGAAAAAATACACAAGAACAGCCAAAGCCGGGGGCTTAAATGGCCTAAGGTCAGCAAAAAAAGACGTGAAGAATTTACATGAATAGAAGAAGGCTTTAACTAAAATAATTACAATACAATTAAATCAAGAAAGAAAAGATCTGTCAGAAAAAAAATTTACAACTGAAATACAATACTTGGCAACTAATTTCAAATATTTAAACAACTAATAATTCCTATAAACCACACAAACGAATACAAACAAATACACCTAGTAAAGTCCCATAAGGTGTACAGATTATGCGGAGGCTAATTAACTACTCAGAAAAATACAGTCTTAAGTTTTTTTTAAAGTTACTTACTGTGAGATTATTGCACACAGACAACGGAATATCATTCCAAATAATAGGAGCTTGCCAAGTGATAGCAAATTGTTACTTATGACAGGTTTTATGCGGATCAAAACGTGAACGAGTCATATAATCGTGATATTCAGAATTAAAATGAAGGATCGAGGAAAGAGAAGTAGGTAAAAAACTATTAAAATGCGAGAATACGCAACAAGCAACATGGAATTTATAGATAGAGTAGAGTGCGAGAATATTATGCTTAGAAAAAAGGGGCTTAGAGGATGTGCGCGGAGGAGAAAAAGTAATTATACGAACGGCTTTCTTTTGAAGTACATAAAGGGGCTTAAGGTAAGAAGCATAAGTAGATGCCCATATTAAACTGCAATAATTGATGTAAGGTAAGGAAAGAGAATTATATAAAGTTTTCAAAGTATTCAGAGGTAAGTATCGCCTTGACTTGCATAAGACTCCTATTACTTTAGAGACTTTATCACAGACAGCAGAGATATGCGGTTTCCAAGATAAATTTTCATGAAAGATAATCCCAAGAAATTTGTCTTCCTGCACACGTGTGATGAAAGAATTATTATTAAATATGTTTATATCTGAGGAGTTAATTTGTTTACGTCGAGGGTGAAAAATGATGAATTTAGACTTGGCAGGATGAACAGTGAGTTTGTTAGCATTAAACCAAGAAGAAACATGAGAGAGCTCCACATTAAGAATGGTTGCTAAGGTAGCCAGGTCATTATGACGAAGAAAGATATTTGTATCATCAGCAAAGAGAATGATAGACAAGAGGTTGGAGACATGAAAAAGATCATTGATGTATAAAAGAAAAAGTAAAGGTCCAAGAACTGAACACTGGGGAACCCCACTAACGACCGAATTATATGAAGAGTATTGCTCCAGTGATGAGATATGAGATGACACTCGTTCACGTACTGATGTTTATTTCCTTTCTTAACCTTACTTCCATAAACACCGTGAGAACTAAAATAAAGGTAAGAGTACTTTACAAATAAGGTTGTGAAATTACGGAAATACATACATTTCATACGAGAAAGTAACAAGACCGAAAGGTAAAAACTTAAGATTGCCAAATATCGGTAAATGATGTTGTGTGTAAACTTAACTTCGTCTAAAATCTAAAATCTTGATTTTACAATGCAATGAGCGATAAAATTGGTTTAAAGGATAAAATTACAAAGCGCTTACTTAAATAAGAAAATGTAGCGTAAATATTTACCTTGATGATGTCCTTAAAATCACTAGAACAAGGAAAACTTCTTGGCTTCTTGAAATGGATTGACAAAGAACTTGCGTCAACTAACCGCAAAAACAGAAAACTTAACCTTTTAACGACAAAATTGCGTGGCGCTTTCGCGTACGTCCTAGCTTGCGTTAGAAAGAACTTTATCGTTAAATTGTGGTAGCGTGCGCGTGCAGAAAAAAAAGATATCGGATAAAAAATAAGTTAATTAAGGTGGCTCCCTAGAGTATTTACTAATAACCCTAGCTATCAAGCATACGTTACAGAAGGAAATCTAGTTACTTTGTCGTTGCGATTTTGTTCACGAGATTCACCGCTAAGGTTACCCATATAAGAAGGCTGCTCTATCAAGTTTCATTTTCTGGATAAAGGCCGTTGCCATGGAAACATCGCATCCTTAGACAGGCAGTAATTTTGTCATTTTTGCCCATTTTTCCTTAATATTTCTAATTTCCCGCGGTGAAATGTCTTTAAACTTTGTCACTTTATATTAACGATATTGCTTAACATTATTTTAAAGTGGAAAAAACGTGGGGTCGTTAAGACGGTTTTGCCAATATTTCGAAATTTGTAATTTTTCTTAATAGAGGAGTTTAGCTCTTACAGATTTTGACTAAAAAATAACAGTACAAAGGTACTGCGACTGTTAAGAAATGAGGCGGTTTTTAGAAAAATTTACCGAAGGAAACGCGAGAAATTCACGGTTAATTAACTGCGCTGACGTCACAAAAATCCGAAAAACACGCGTGGTTCGGGGTCGTTTGAGCGAAATACGCGCGCGAGCCATCACGCCCGCATGCGCATAATGACATAGCTGTATGGAACATGTGCTTTCTACCAAAGATCATTTTACTGGTATAATTACCAGTGATTACAGTGATATCTCACCAGTTATGGAACGAGAAGATGGAAAATTCTATTTAGTTGCTTACACTAGTTATGTTCTTCAAAGTACTTGACTATTGTTGCCAAAATTCGAGCGGTGGTGGTCACTCGTGGTGATTGCAATGGCGATGAAGAAGGTGGTTGTGAAAGTGTCGCAATAAGCCCTTCTTTTCCAAACCTGCTGTACACTCTTTGGAGATCTTGAAATGCCAGCCCACTTCCGGATATTTTTTCAATCATGTTCTTCTTGAGGTATTGCGGATGATGAAGATTTCCTTTAAAAGTCTGCATTAGAATATGGCGGCGATCCAAATAAATCACGTCCTCAGCTGCGTGGCTTGCACTTACAACACCCGAGTTCTCGACCACAGTTTTCTCCGAAAGGTCTATCCGTGACTCAAAAAGTATTTTTCGTAGTGCTAAAACATCTTCTAAAGCATCGTGTGCGTTGAAGGACTTTTGGAACAGGAAAGAATACACTGATGATTGGTTCGTCTTTGAGAAGGTTCCATCAGGATTTCGCAAGAAGGAAACTTTTTCTCTGACAAGTGTTTTAAACAACGTGAGAGAATCGGCAAAGAAAACGTCCATTGCCTGTAATCTTTCTTTAAAGTCGCTCTCAGAATTTCTTAACAGGACTGGAACGTCAAATGTGAGAGAATTGTGACCTAGGAGCACCGTTACGACATTCTTGTTTGTGCGTGACTTGGCTCTTTCTACTGACCGTGAAACAAAGCCAAGAAACTGTGACATTGCTTCCTTCAACGGTAGTGTACTTACTTCTTTGTTGTCTTTGTAAAGTTTCCTTTCACCAATTACCTTGACTATTTTAAGTTTGTTTACTTTTGACGCGAAATGATCAATGTCATGTACAGGTAAAGTGTAAGTTGCCAGTGGTCGTGGAGTGTATGGTGAAACAATGGTCTCAATTTCTTTCATGGTTCTTGAGGGCAAGATGCTCAGATCTAGGTTCGGTCCAATTCCGGTTTCATATGTTTTTCCTTCTTTTGCTTCTTTTTTAGCAGTTTGTGCACTGTTTTGCCTGCGGGCATTGGCTCTTCCCCGTTTATAAGCCAAAGAAGATTTTCTGAGTTTATCTTTTTGAACATGATTAGTCATTTTTTCTCCATACATTTCACAGAAATTGCCAGGCTCAATATTGAGTGCCTCAAGTGTATTGCTGATATAGGTATATCTTAAATTTGTCTGAGCGACTCCACAGGCCACACGAAAATCATTGCTCTCACTTCCACCATAGAATCTGATTTTTGGATTCTTCGATCCAATTACACTGTTAAGCGCCTCATTTCGCTGGGAATTTGTCAAAGGTGCAAGCTTCTCTGCCACAGCATCAGTAGAGTAGTCATTGAAGATGTTATTTAGTTCTAATTCCAATTTTTTTCCTTGCAGGTATTTTCCATATGGCAGCTCTTTGTGCTTGTAGGTTCCTGGGTTGCTCTTAAATTTACACCAGCTAGTTTCACAGTTGGAGTGATCCCCAAAGGCGTGGGGAACAATTGACTTAATCGCAGCCTGGATCCCTTTTGAATCTCCTTTGTTTTGAGCAGTAGCATATGATAAACATTTTACTAAATAATTTATCACTTATTGAGATAAAGGGGAACAATTGTCAAATTTTTCATTTTGACTAAGGTTGTATAAACGTGTTGTGAGGGATCTTTTCATATGTATAATGTCACTGTTTTTTTCAACCCCATAGGTTACTTTTTCTCGTATGTGTGCCTCTGTTGTGGAGTCATCATCACTTGTGTAAACTGAAAACTTAACACTTTGGTCTGGAGCTCTGTTAAACAGTTCAACTGCTGCAGCGGGCTCCATTGCTTTCGATGAAGCCTCATGATTTTTTCGGCAGTCATGAGCTTTGGGTTCTTTTCCCATGGCCTTGGCGCTGTCACAAAATCTACAACTTTTTGTCCTTGTTGTATAGTCCAGCACTTTACCAGAAGATAACCCCATAACTGCTCCTTGACCAGTGCGAGAGTTATGCCCCTTGCCACGTTTCTGCCAGCCCATGTCATAGGAACATGAAATAGGCACCAGATTATTATCATCAACCTGAACACCATTTTGCAGGGCTTCTTGTTTTTCTGTTACCAAACAATCCTGGCAGCTACTTTTTGCAACACCTTCAACAGCTTTTCCTACCTCTCTTTCCCTCAATTTGAAAGTGACAGAATTTATAGTTGGGGCATTCAAAGTAGAGAGCAAGTTGTTTATATGTGTTTGGCCAATACCCGCATGAAGACAACCAAGGGCCACTCGTGTGTTTACGTCAAAAGCAGGAGGACCACGTTGACCAGATTTGTGTTGTTCAGAAGTTTTGATTTCATTATTTTTTCCACAGACTGGACAAATAATCACAAATGTGCTAGCTAGGGTATGGCGTACTTCATCCCTCACATTGTAAAAGAAAGCGGACCTAAATATGATAAGTGAAATAAAAAAGGCTTTGTGTGAATAAAACATCTAGCATAGCATATTTGATGTATTCTAGCATAAGAAATTCCCACTCTTTTTTTGCTCCTACCCGTAATATTTTTCCAGATGCTTTTAAGAGGGTTTGGTTGTCAAACTAGGGTATAAATTATACCTGGAGTAGATGGAAATAATACTTGCAAACAATGAATGCTTAGAGGGGGTAAAAATATGTATGTGCATAATATAATGCATTATCCTTTGTTTTTTTTTTGTTTGGGTGCATGGTAAGTTTTCCAAAGGATTGAAATAAAGTCTTATGATAAACAAAAACTTGTGGGTTTTCAGCAGATACTTAATTTAATAAGCAAACACAAAATGGTAGATTATATTATTCTTTCTCAAGAGCAAATGTTAAAGTCCAGTCCAGCAAAGTCCATTCCGGTCAGGCTTTATTTAGAAAGAATACATACATTAACCTGATTGACAGTGAGTGCAGCTTTGGAGACGTTTCCGAAATGTGTCAAGGTCAATTAGACGAGTTCCATGGGGAAGAGCTGCTTCTTTTTCGGCGGCAGCCTGTTATAAGTATGAAGATTTGATGTTTCCAATGATTAGCATAAACGCGCGCTCGGTACTTTTGACAAAATTTTTCTAAAGACAAAGAGTCACCGCCGTGCTTACCTGAGTACTCCTTGTGTTGCGTTTAGAGGGTGGTTCGTTTTCGTCGGTTATGTTTTCAAAATCCAGCCTTCGTTTTGCCATGTAGTTTCGGTATCCTTGTTGCATCAGTGCCATTTTATTAGAAGTTCCTTTCGCTGCTTTCGCGAAGCGACCACTTGCGCTACGCTTTACCTGGTGCGAAGAAGACGGAGGAGTAGTAACAGAGAGGCTCTGACAGACGGATGATGTGGGCAGAGAGTCTTCTTCCGTATTATTAGGGGTAGCCGCAGCTATCCCCAAGACTGCGAACAAGGTATAAGGAAAGTTTCTTCTTTGTTTACGATGCGATTCACGCTTATGTCTGTTATGAGGATCGATGAATGCCGGCAAATTGCTTGACACTGGTAAAACATCTCCTTTGATAAAAGTTTGTCTAAAACTGGCCGATCTTCTTGCATTAACAAAGTTGACAAAGTTTTTTCGCGCAAATTTTCTTAAAAGAGACGCCATGTTTTGTTTTTATTTTTGCGTGGACGTCGCGCGGATTTTAAAGCTCGTGCCATATTAGTACCTAGGCTGCGTACAGCCAATTTTCTCTAGAGAGCCACCTTTAACGTGCGGCTAATTGCTGTAGCTACAAAGAGGTATGGTCATGGACCATGACGCACTGCTGTCTGTGAGACAAATAGCTAGTCAGCCAGGTTAACGGGATATCTCTCATGCCATAAAAATTTAGTTATCCAGAAGTATTTCATAGTTGACTGTGTCAAATGCTTTCTTAAGATCAATGAAGACTCCAACAGTGTACTGATTGTTTTCAAAACCTTCATAAATATTGTTGACAAGTTCTAAGATAGCCATAGCAGTAGAGTGGTGTGGTCAAAAGCCATACTGATGATGATTAAGGATATTAAACTTTGTGAGAAATCCTGATAACCTGAGGTAAAAAAGTTTCTCGAAGACCTTAGAAAGACAGGGGAGAATAGAAATAGGCCGATAGTTTGAAAACAAAGAAGGGTCATCACTTTTAAAAACTGGGAGAATCTTTGCAATTTTGAGTTTATCAGGAGAGACACCACGCTAAAATGATAGATTGCAAAATATGAGATAAAGGAGCAACAAGTAAATCAATTGTTTCTTTGATGGAAGACACAGAAAGACCATCAACACCCACATATTTGCTATTTTTTAGACTATGAACAGTAGAGGCAACTTCAGCAGGAGGAGTGGGATTTACAATTAAGCAATCAGCAAAGTGACCAACAAGGAAATCTTTATGAGAAAATTGAGTAGATGGAACTTTACGGGCCAGAGAGAGTCCTATGTTAGCAAAGAAATTATTTAAGTTAATACAAGAGAGAATGATCTAAGAGAGCGAATCCCCATACATGACCCTCTTCCCATCAAAATTATTTTCAATCTATTCTTGGTTCTGTGTCGTACTGCGAGGTTATTTTAAGGAAGCCACCTTATTGGTCGGTTAGAGTGGCGTCATGTAATTTTAAACATGGCGGGTAATTCATTTTACTGCTGATCACGCAGCGCAAGAGACATGACGTGCAAACTTGGCATTACGTTCGTCGACGAGTCAAAAGCTTTATACGTGGAATAATCTGGCCAGAGTAGCTGACGAAGAGCAAAACGATCCTGGCTTGTGGGAGTTCGCCGGAGAAAGCGATTCCGACTCGGCGAAAACTGCTTATTGAGGTCTTCGCTACATCAATATATAAACAACCAACATCCTATTGTAAAAAACGACAACTGTCTCTTCCGGCGACATCCACGCACACCCGCGAGCTGTGATACCGTCGTTTGGATCCAACCGTGAACACGTAACGAGAAAATAGGTTCAAAGTGGGTCCAAACATGAATGTTTGGCCGCCAAACATTTGAATTTTGTGAGGACGCTAGACAAATGTGGGCACACCGCTCACTATTAAGAATTGACCGAAACCGGAAAACGGGCATCAAAACTCTCTGGCATCCAGGTTAGCGACTGTTCAACAGCTTGAAGCATCTGACCTGATTTGTGTTTGCACAGCGAAATATTCATCGCAAGTATTAGACATTAAGAAGAAGTAATGCAGTTTGAAACTCTCAAGAATAATTCTTAAAAGCAAATGTACTGTTTCTGAACGAAAAATATTCCTGGAAAAAGAGAAAAAATATCTTGCTCATGAGCATAAACAATTGAAGCCAGCCACTTATTAAAGGTTTCGTGTTTCGCGCGTGATAACCTTTGCCTATGGCTTTCACACTGTGTCACTGAATTCAATATTCGTTACTTTAAATGAGGCTACCAGCCGTTAGAAAATCTCAATCTTTAATCTCAAAGTAAAATTTTGATTCCACTACCGCAATCCCTTTGTAAATGAAATTCATTCCTAGATTATAAGAAGAAAGCGCTTATCAAAAACCTGTCAACATCAGGAGCCGATTAGCATCCGATTAGTATCGGCTCCTCGCGCTAATTACTATAATGGCTGTCAAACTTCAAATGTTTGGAGGCGAAACATGTCACGTTCACGTGAAAGTAGATCGTGCGGGTCACGGGAACAACAGACAAAAATAACCTTCGCAGCAAGCGCGCGATCTTTAAATAGATTTAAAAAAATTATCATGGGGCACGGGGATTCGCTCTCTTAGCTCATTCTCTCTTGAGTTAATAGCTATACGTAAAGGGGCTGAACAGACACCGCTACTGTCTTTCATATTACTAAAATGTTGTTCAGATTTCTTTTTAGAAATAATCTGCTTAATAACTGACCAAGTCTTCCTCAGGTCTGAGCTAACCGAGACTAGTTTGTCATGAAAATATTTTTTTCTAGCAATTCTAATGAGAAAATTGCGCTTTTAGGGACGACACTGATGTTTTCTTCAACTAAAAGATTGAGGTTTAGATAATATGATCTCTGCTCGGGATTTGCTCGGGAAGTGGCCCATAAAAGCGGAACAGTTCAATGCCACTCGGTCTTTCACCGAAACACTTAAAAAACCTGTGAATTCTACAAGAATAATTCATCCCGAGCTCTCATCGGTGGCGAGGTCGAAGGACCGCATTGAGGAGCGCTGTGTATGCATTCAAACCTCTTCGCAGAACTCGCAGAAGTCCGCTTAGATACCTCCTATGTACTTAGGCCTGTGTTAAGATGACCTACACCAAAGCAGTGATTAAAATCAGTCTTTCACAACCACTAAAAAATGAACTCATTCTCTACCTCAAAATCAAAACTCGAGCCCATGAGTAAATGAATGAATGGTGGAGATGATTCTAAACTATTCAACGAAACACTTTCAAAAAATACGTTTTCTGGTGGGGGAGAAAACTTGAACCCGTAAAGTGAATATGAATAGGCAGCAGCAAGCGATAATAGAGGTAAGTCAGAAAATTAGTGGACGGACCTATTATTGCAGGTAAGTATAGTAAACGGGTGAACCGAAGGATGCTTTTGTGGAAGGCACTGACGGTAAAGTCAAGCTACGTGCAAACGGAGGCAACAACTCCCAAGACTGTTGGCCCTAGAATGCTGGGAGTTGTTGCGTTCGTGTTGACTTCAGTGGTGTGAAAACTGCTGCAACAACTCCAAACAACACGCAACAACATACAACATCAGGGTGTGCAATTGGACGCAGTATGTAACATCCACCAATCTTTGGGGTTGTTGCCCAACAAAGTTGTGTCCGTTTGCCAGGGGCTTTAAGACTACCTAGCAATTGTGCCCATTGGATCAGACGTACAACTAAGTGTCATTGTTCAGTTGTTTACTCCAAAAAAGATGCAAAAAGAGCGTTTAAGTTCTAAGTAGGAAGATAACCAGCAAGGCACTTATAAGCTTTTCCATATTGACTCTACGAAACAAAAGCACATGTATATAGTGTTGCGGTTTAGTTTTACTCTTTGCTCAAATATCATTAACCTTTTATGTTTAGGTATATTAATGCTAGTAAAAATAAGTCTGAAATTGAAAAAAGTTGTAAAGGGTAAAGTTGAACCAACGACGCTTTACGCAAAAACATTACTATGGCAGCACGGACGTCAAAACGTTTTTTTATTTTCTTATTTAAGTAAA